TCTCCAATTAGGCAGATAGTATCTTCAACTCTATCAAGTAAGATTGGGTGATGTGTTTAAATGTGTGACTTTAATTTCATTAGATATTCAGTACCAATTTTTGTCTTTCCAGTTCACCTTTATGTAGTCTTCCTATTCATGGAATAGCCAATCCATTTAGACTCCTCCTAAATTTTGACCACCTCATCTTTGGTGGCAGTAATTTCCTCAGGCTAATTTTGTGCTGTTCTGCAATGGTGTTTGGAAGATTAGCACATTCCTTAGAACAAACCACAATTGCTGGAAGAGACAGGTAGTAACTACATATCTCGGTATTTACTTCATTACTGGAAGACAGTCAGTCAACCAGCGTGGCATTTTGTTGATTGACTTAACCCAGAATGTTAGCTTTTTTGGAGTATTTGCACATCCTTATCAAGGCATCTATTTTCCTCTCTTTAATCCTGGCCTTTTCTGTTCTTTCTACTTGAGTTCCCTAGGAATAATGCACTGGAGAGAGGCTGTTGTTCTTTATACAGAGCTTGTTCTTTGGGTTTTTCCCCTGTCTGTCTGCAAGATGCAAAATTCCTTACCATTCTGTAATCCAAAATCTTGTTACTGGGGCTTGATAAATCATCTTGACATGTAGTTGAGCGGCTGAGATGTCATCTCTGAAGTTTGACTGGCTTTTCAAGTTAACCTTTAAATATATCGAAGCCATTCTGTAGTTTTTCAGATCCCAACTTCACACATTAATGCAGCACATCTTCCACGACAGAAAAAATCAGATATTTTCAAGTAGTCATGTTCTGCCTTTGTTTTTCTCTTAGCATTAATAATAATTTCTACATTTAAAAAATAGAATAGTGACAGGACAAGCAACCTGTCAGCCTTGTTCATACCTAATTCTGCCCTCAGAGTTTACCCCAGATGGATCAATGCATTTCCATGCAGTTACTTCTATTTTTATATCGTTTTTAAGAGCTAAATCTTATCCTAGATCTTTAAGTCGGGCAAAAATCTCACTGAAGCCAGGGGGAGTTTTGCTGTACCTGACTAATAAAGTATTTGAGAAGGAATGTAATGCTTGTGGATCAGAGAGGCTAACTGTGTAGGCTTCAGTTTTGTTGTGCAGGCAGGTAATGTCTGGCAGTTCTTGTCATGCTGGGTCTAGACCTGCTAGCAGCTATTAAAGGCTGTTCCAACCTTTAATTTTGTGTAAAAATGTGTGTCACTATTCACCCCCACTCTCCACCTACCCAAAAAAAAGAAAAGGAAAAAAGAAAAAAAAAAATAAATAATGCCTTTTAGAATGGAAGGGAAAAAATTAACTTTGGACTTTGTATCTCTGGGACTCAAGGTGTGGATCGCTTGTCTTTTAGAGAACTACAGACCTGTAGGCTAGCTGTGATACTGGCTACCAATTTTTTGAGGCACCTAACTCAATTTTAAAGACTTATTCTTCTGAGGTGCCAAGCATCCACATCTGGACCTTCCATATGGACACTGGGTTCAAGGTGTCTCCAGTCAGATACTCAGTTTTAGAAAGTTTTTGAAAATACTGATCATAGAACCCATACGTCATGGTCCATAGGTCTTTGTAAGCCCAATTTGTGAGGACCAAGAGTGAAGGATAAAAATGATGATACACCTTCATGTGCAGGCTCAAATAATATTTGAAAGGAATGGAAATAGCATAACCCCAGTGGGGCTACTTTCAGATGAGACACGACACGTGATGTTATTTTAAAAGAACTCTATGTAGGTTAATTACTGAAAGATATTTATGCAGCTTCTAAAATGGCAGATTTACGCTCTGTAACAACTAAAAGGCCACCACAGGAGCTCACCGCTGCCCCTCAGCTCCGTCTGACCAGGACTGATTCCAAGACTGGACTTGGTCTGCTGCTGTAAGGACGAAGAAAAATATATGATAAAATAAGAGAAAGAAATGCTGAATCACTTTTCTTCAATTAAGGCTTCACAAGAAAAGTCTATTTTTAATCTTAGCAAATACCCTGGTGTCTAATCTTCTGTAAGTATTTATACTTCTTTATTTTAATAACTCCCTTCAAGGCCAATATAAGCTAAGCATGTAAATCCCCAGAGAACTGATGAAAAAAGCAATCCCATTCACTTAAATGTAAAAATAAACCATTTGGCATGTTTATGCAGAAAAGAATCTCATAAATTATTATTACTTTTTTTTTCTCTGTCATCTAGTACTTTCTTAGCTAGATTGAAGGCACGCACAGCTTCCTGTTTGCATTTTTTTGCTTTGAAGTGATGGTGAATAGATTCATTAAATTAGAACAGAAAATCTGCTAATTTGTTGCTTGTCTTCTATTTCAAATGGATGATCTAAAAGGCTGAAAGTATTTCTGTATTTGTTGCAGTGCTGTTTGCAGTTTGTTACGAGGGAAGTAACCTCCATCGGATTTTTAAGCAGTTTTCCTTCCAGCAAAATCTCCAGGTCACAGGTCTTCCAATTACATGCAGAAGGTGGCAAGGAGACAAAGCTAGTCTGGGTAGCTTTCTCTTTCAGCAGCAAAGTTTGCATTTCTTTTAATGTAGTTAAAACATTTGACAGGAGAGAGTAGGGTTTAGTGATGTGAGGTGATTTCCAAATGAGTGTTAGCTTTTTACTGACCTACTTTTGACTAGTGGTGTATTCTTGTCCATTACTTTTTGTCATTGAATAATGCTGATATATTAAGCTGTGTGCTTCAAGGGCATTGTAAAATTGCATGTAGGGGCAGGACTGAACTGTGAAAGTGCGAATTACTCTATCAGATCATACCCAATTAAAAAGTGACAAGCACAGCAGGAGAAATTGAAAGCAAGGTTTATCTTTCATGTAACATAAGAAGTCACTATGTCAGTTAGAAACAAAGTGAGTGTGAAACAGATTCTCCTCCTCTTCTCATCCCTCTCCAAAAATTAATAATGTCTGCTGACTTCATTATCTGAAAGAATAAGCTCCTGAGTTGTAACAGCTCATGTTGAAGGATATTACGAGAATGGCAAGAGAAGGGGAAGTACAGCAGCCATACACCTTTAAGCTATTTGCTATCAAAGCGTGTGCTGAACCTCAGGTCAGTGCATTGGGGATTGACGGATAGGGAGTTTGGAAAAAGTGGTGGTAGTTTGTATAAAGCTGTAGTGCGTCGTTAAAGGAAGACTTGCAGTCTTGCAGGCTCTCCGCAGTTCCGCAGGAAGCGCAGGAATAAAAGCATGGTAAGGAAACTGGGAACTTCTACTAAGCCCTGTAGTTGTTATAAAACTGCTACAAGCTAAGGAAACTTATTTACTCTCCAGTGCTATTGCAAAAATCCTTATATAACCTTTTGCATAACATGCACCAGCACTCTTCTAATGGTGAGATGGGTCTGTGAATGTATAAACGAATACAGTTGTCTTTGTACAATACAATCTTCCAGAATCCTGCTGGCTCAAGATGTTGTGTTGCAGAACCTGTTCTGATGATGAACCTGGATTAAAGATGTTATGAACAAAATTGTGGTGCTTTCCAGTGTACTAGGGTTGTGGTGGGTTTTGGGTTTTGTTTGTTTGTTTGTTTTGGCTTCGGGGTTTTTTTTTGGTGGTGTTTTTCTTCTTTTGCTAATCCGATAAACTCTCTTGTAAAATAAACAAAAAAACCCCAAAAAGTAAATCAGCTTTGCAAAAGGTGCCCTATATTTGCTATTGGGATGCAGACTGCTTCAGTGATGTGTGAATCCTCTGTGACCAGGTGAACACCACCTTCTGTGTCAATTTTGCATTGACCCTGATGCTTGCTGCTGATGGTATTACCTAAGTGGTTTCAGTTAGTGAACTCCTGTATGTGTGTATGTGTGTATGAACACAACTTTAGCACAGCCGATTTGATTAACGCTGAGTTTTCAGATTAGGCTTTAGTGTGTGACATTCTACTTTGTGAAGAAAAAAAAAATACAAAAAATAAAACGGGAAAGTGAGAAATATGTGAAGCACTTGATATGTGTAAGCTGTGCTTGGAGGCATTGTATTGTAGGGAAGATAGGGGGAGATGGATAGGTAAATTCACAGGGTACCTGATCCGTGTAGCGAGGTTTGCCCATAAAAACAGTGATGCTCTGAAGAAAGCATCTTCATATAAAATGTATATTTAATAGATGTACAAGAAGTTAAGAGTTTAAAAGTGACCAACTGATTTACAGTCCTACTAGACTTGGAATTGGCAAGCAGCTGTTACGGAGGGGAAAAAAAGTTATAATATGAAAATGCTTATCCTCTAAAAGCCTCCATTCTCCTGGTGGGGATTTACCTTCTCCCCAATTCGTACCCATGATGGAGTACCAAGGGTCATCCAAAAGAATGGCTTTATTATTGTGTGTTATGGTGAATAAGTAATTTATTGGAGTTTCTTCTGAGCGAAGAAGTTGTAGGGATTCATATGCAGGCAATATCTAGGTCCCAAGTTTAAAACCAAACAAACAAAAACCCCCAAAACACCAAACCACAAAAAACCCTCCAAATCTCATAACAATTTTGAGTGGTAATTCTTTCCATTCTATAGTGTTTTTGTTCTATCAGAAGTAGTTTGATACAAGATTCATAACATTTTAAAGGACTCTTGTGCATGGACTGACGAATTAGGCTTGTTTGCTTCTCCTGAAGGTAAAGGGGAGGACCTAGCACTGTGGGTTTTCCTTCTTTTTTTGTGTGGTGTTTTTTTGGTTTTGCTTTTTGTCAAGAGGAAACTTCTACAAACTGTGCCTTTGTTAGTCTCACCATTTTTCTGGCATGACCAAGAGGTTAATGCATTAATTACTGGATATATTAATGTAATACAGATACAATAGACTTTCAAGAAAAAAAGGGAGAAGACACCCACACTGTAATTTGAATGTGGAAAAGATTAATGGAATTCTCATTTCTAACTGATATATGTAAAATTTGTGCGAGAGGTGAGTTGGTTTAAAAAAAAATACAAAACTGTACAGTTATACCATTACCTAACTTTGACTTTTATTTTGCAGTGACCAGTGTAAAAGAAAATGCTGAAAAGTACATGGAGATGCTGGAGGATAAACTACATAGGTAAGGATGATATAAAGGAAACCTTTGAAAGCTTAAAAATGCTTGTTAATGCAGCATTGGCATGCATGAAAGTGTTAGGGAATGTTTTCGAACTTGCATTAGAATAATACCAAAAATAGTTCAAAGCTGGAAATCTCGTAAGTGTTATTGTTAAGACCTCTGTTCATAGCTATGTTCAGCAGCTTTGCCACCGGCCTGCCGATGGATACAGGTAAAAGAAAAGAATCGCTGCGTTCTCTAGTGTGTAGCACTGCTCTGGAGCAGCGTTGGCCAGAGAAAAGGGAGCATGCGTGCGGTTGGTGTGCATCGCTCCAGCTCCGCCTGCAGGTGCTGTAATCAGTGGTGTGAGCTCTGGAACACCCAGAAGCCCTGAAGTATTGGTGATGTGACAGCTGGTTGAAAAATCCCCCCTCTGTTCCTATGCAAAACCCAACTCTGAGCAGAGCCAAGGGATTCCTTACCAGAATTCTGGGCATCTTTAACAAGTAATGACTCTTTATATAACAGTTTTGAAAGAATGCCATTTAGGGAGATTGTGGAAAGCAAATAGAAACCAAGACAACAATGGAGATATTTTAAGAACTGAATCCTAATGCAGAATTTACTTATTTTTATGCTTTTAAAAAAAAAAAAAAAAATCTAGCCTTTATATTTCCTTCCCTTGCTGTGTGAAGGGGGCTATAGATCACTCCTCAAATTTTAGGCTGCTCCTTGAAATATGGTTAGCAAATGTTGCAGTGCTGTTGCAATGGAATCTTCTGTGATCGTGGACTTTGCCTTGCACAAGTATATTTATATTGAAAAAAGCTTTCATAGGCAGTAGCTGGAGTTTGTGTCTTAATAAAATGCAACCCACAAAATTAGCACCACTTCCATTTCTATTGCTGAGCAGGTATAATTAATAAACTTGTTGCCCTCATTATCTTCTGTTATATTGATAAAGAGAGGGTTCTAGATCTTTAGATTTGCTCACTCATACTTTTGAATATAGAAGTATTTATTCTGCATAACTTTCACATTCAAAAGTAATTCAGAGCTGAGTGAAAAATGATGGAAACAGACCTCAAAGATCAAGCTGTGTGTCTGTGTCCTCCCTAATCCCCGCCCTTAATAACATTTATACTCCAATCCGTAAGTGTAAGACAAGTCTTAAGAACTTTCTGTGGGTTGTCTTTTTGAAAACCATAATCTTTATTAAAAAATAAAATACGAGGTGTAACAACATGTATTGATGCTTCTAGGCTGTATAGATTTAACTAACATATCAGGGTCCCAGAAGGAAGTAAATTTCTTTTTAACTATTAAATAATTGGAGAATCTGTATAGACTTTTTTTCTCTTTCCGAGAATTTATCAGATAGAATTTGCAGTTGTGGTTTGTTTTAATTTATTTGTGCCTTTTTGTATAATCTTTGGGTTGTCTACCTGGACTTTTCTGCATCGGTATCTTAAATTGCAACACATTTTTATGTGTCTTGATAGGTGTGGTTAATGAACTCGCAGCATGCTTTTTTCCCCTCTTCCTGCTATTTGTGGGAGAAATTTCCATGCTGAACTGCTGGTATTCATCCTGCTTCTGCGGGGAGTATCATTTCAGGGGAGGGATTAAAAGTTAAACCCTCTCTTTGGCACTGCTTTATATTTTGGAAGCATTTTTTTATGAACAGTAGTTGACCATTTCAAACTTCCCGTAGCAAATTTAAGGGTTGTTGAATATTTTAATATAACTTGTGGCTTTTGTATGCAAGGGTTGCCTTCCTCAGTACCACATAGACCTGGGCCTGTTTCAGTCTAGGTTCTCTATTGCAACCAGGCTACAGGCTTCAAAGTTTTGCTGTTGAGATAAGTGTTCTTCCCAGCCTGTGCTGAGGACACAAATGCGTGAAGTCCAAGTATATTGCTGCAGCCGTACTGGTGCATTTAACATGCACTTCAGAGCTTGCCATCAGCTCCTCTGTCTCTAACAGACTGTTGCAGTGTTGCCAAGCTTCTAAAATTTCCCTTCCTGCCCTTAAGAATTAAAAAAAAAACCCAAACAAAAAAACTCCCAAAAAACAAAACCTCCTAAAACTCATCAAATAAACCCAACTAAAAACTCCCCCCCAAAAACCCACCACAGTGCTGGCCAAGCCCCCAGATGGCGAAGATTCAGTCCTGAACCAGTGACAGTTTTGCAATATGTACAAATGATATTATTCTAAAAATAGTTTATACCAAGTAATTAAGGGCTAAGAATTTATTTTAATATTGATGGGAAGAGAAAATCTAATGTTTTTACCGGAAAGAGGTCTCTAAGATACTACATCTTTAAAATGTTTTTATATTTATGCTAATAAAGTGGTTATAGATACTTGTTTTTTAAAGGTTCTTTGGACTTTAAGTAATTAACTACACCTGCTTCACAGCTTGAGTAATTAAAAAAAGTAAGCAAGAGCCCAAGAGGCTCCTCGCCCCTCCCCCTCCTCCCCCCGCC